GAAATAGGGAACCGCATTTCATTTAGCACATGTTCTAAGAAACTCCATTCTATTCGGTCGTATGCCTTTTCCAGATCGATTTTAATGGCCATGGTTCCATGGGTCCTCTTAGACCTTTTCATGGAGTGTAACAACTCTTGAACCAGAACAATATTGTCAGTGGCTTGCCGTCCCGAAATGAAGCTACCATGTAAGGGGCTAATCAATCTAGTTAATAAGGGCCACACTCTAAGCACCAGAACTTTGGAGAGTATCCGCATAGTAACATTACTGAGAGAAATGGGTCAAACTTGAGAGGTAATCAATCTTGGGGATAAGCGTGATCAAGGTTTTATTCAAATCCACAGGAACTTGACCTGACTGGAAAATATCCTGAATCACAGTGGTGAGAGAAGGCCTACAAACATCCCAGAAGCGTTGGTAGAAGAAAGGTTGAATCCCATCCGGCCCAGGGGCCTTAAAAGGGCCCAAAGAAAAAACTACATTTTTTACCTCCATTATGCTGATAGGGCACGCTAAAGCAGTCACCTCTTGCGGTGTTAAGCAGGGCAATGACTGAGGTAATGTAGGAACAGGATCCACAACTTCAGTCGTAAACAGCTTCTGAAAGTGTTGAACAGCTCTAGCCTGAAGCTCAATCTGGTTAGTGCACCAAGTATCATCATCATTTTTTAAAGCCATGATCCTATTGCGTCTGCGCCGAATAAGTGTCGAAGTATGAAAGAAACGAGTGTTGGCGTCACCAAACATGAGCCAGTTGGATCTTGATTTCTGGTACCAAAGCACTTCCTCTTGCAACAACAATTTATTATACTCAACGGTGAGGTGAGATTCATGCTGCTCAAGGAAAGGATTGGACGTCAAACTCAAAGCTTGTTGGATACCATGCAGTCTTGCTAAAACATGCTTTTTATTCCAAAAAATATTCCCAAACACCTCCCTGTTCCAAGTAGTAGCTGCAGCCACGAACCTATCAATTATAAGAGGCAAGTCTTTCTCAGTAAAGTTCCATGATTGTTGAACAAGGGTTTCAAACGTAGGATGGGTTAACCACGCAACCTCCATTCGAAATGGACGCCGCAAAGGGTGAGGGACAACCCCAATAAACAAGATAAGCAATGGACAGTGGTCAGAATTAATCCTCGGAAGGTGTTGAACCCAAGCTTCAGGAAAGAGGGTGTGCCATGGGTCATTATAGAGAGCTCGATCAAGTCTTTCTTTAATATTCGCTAGTCCATGACGGCCATTGGTCCAAGTGAATTTGGGTCCTGAAAACCCCAAGTCAATCAAATTACATTCATCCATGACTTGAACAAAACGCGAGAGGCACCGTTGGGTGGAAGGTGCACCTCCTTGTTTCTCAGAATTGGAACTTATTTCATTGAAATCACCCGCAATAAGCCAGGGAAGGGGGAGACCATAAGCAACATCCACAAGATAATTCCATAATTTTGAACAAGAAATAGAGTTCGGACTAGCATACAAAGCTGTGAAAAGCCAATCTACTTCATTCTTTCTCTGAATAATGACACTAAGAGCTTGGGGATGGGGGGGTAGAACATCCACTTCCACTAAATCGTTTTACCAAAACAGCCAAATACCACCAACAAAACCCGTGGCTTCAACTACTGCCATATCTGAAAAACAAGTTCAGCGAATTATCCGTTGAGCTTTATTGCTTGCAGCCCGAGTTTCAAGTAGAACCAAAATAACAGGGTCATGAGACCTAGCAAGTTTGCAGCTCGTCCTGAACGTAGCATCATTGCCAGTTCCCCTACAATTCCAAACAAGGATCTTTATGGAGGTGACCAAAAAAGAAAGGCCAAAACCCAGATTAAATGTCCATCTCAGCTGACCTCGTTTGGTCAACCCGTGTTGCCATAGTTGCTGCAACAGACCCATTATCTTCAAGAACCAGGTAAGAAGCAACACGATTTTGCACTATTCCCTCATCGGAATACGCTCGACAGCTTTCACCATCCGCTGGGTCGCAGCGATGGGAAAGTAAGGAGTGGTTAGAGTGGGGCAAACCGTCTGGTGGTCGACCAGGAACTGAAGTGACCATCTGATCAAAAGAGAGGGAAGGATTGGGAGGGATGGGAGGTAGGAAGGCAGGTTGACAAGCCAAGGAGTGTCCATCCTGACTCTCTCTCTTGGTGCCTGAACCTCCTGCCATGAAGGAGCGAAGGGGGGGAAAATCTTGTAAGGATGTGGATGGATTGAAGGGAGCTGAATTTGGGGTATGGTTTGGGCGGTTGGGGGCTCTATCTGGATGAGAGGCAACCTGCAAATGGGGGTTATGTATTTTACGATGTGGGCTTTGAGGGAGAGGCTTTTTGGAGTGGACTTGAAAGGGTAGAGGGATGGGTCGAGAGGCTTGCCTAGTGGAGGGCCCAACATTGGAGTCACAATCCAAAGAAAAAAGGCCCAATCCTATTGTATCCAAAGAAGAAGTTGGCCCAACTTTATCAAGGAAGACAGTTCCATGGTCATCCACTAGTGCTGAGAAACGATTACCCATACTACCATGTGACACTACAGCTTTACCCTTTTGTACGTTTGAATATGCATTAGTTGGACCAACTGTCCTTCTCCCACCATTACCAGTGACTGGGGGATTATCCATTTTGGCAGAGTTTGTACGACGCGTGCGGCTGACTGTACCTCGAGAACGTGATTGTGCTAGCATCCACGGTCCAAATTTATGCCCTGAACCAACACCGATGCACAAAGAGTCAACAGCCGGCGCCCCTGGCACAGTATCATTCCCAGTTTCCGTCACCATAGTTGGCATTAGCGATGGGCACCCCTCTTGCTTGTGTCCATATTTCCCACTGCAAAGCAGATAAGGTGTAAACCTTCATATTCAACAGCAAATTCCACATTGTTAATACCTACCTTGGAGACCAGAGCATTCTTGAGGTTAAGCTCGACACAGACCCTAGCAAATCTCCCTCATGATGCATCCGCTGTAAGCTTATCCGTTTTGATAGCTCGACCAATCAAATTACCTAACCTTAGTAAAAGGGTTTCATTAAAATATTCAATCAGCACGCCTGGAAATCGAATCCAAACCATGGTAGACGGTAGTTCATTGGCAACTAGACGAAAGTCTGGACGCCATTTACTGACTGTTAAATAATGCCCAAGAATAACCCATGGTCCATCCAACAGAACATGAAGATAATCTGCCTTACATGCAAAACGAACCAAGTAATAGCCCTCACCTACATCAATTATATCAATAAATTGTTAAAGCCGCCAAATCTGTTTCATCCTCTAGGCCAATAGACGGTATTCGACAACACGCCCTAGAACTTTAACAATGAGCACCTTACGCCATGGAGCTCGAAGGGTTGACAGTTCTTTAGGTGGGATTGTGATTCTGGGGCAATCAGGGACCAGCAGAGTGTTGTCAGCCTCGAGGAGGGTAGGTTCCTCATCATCACTGTCGCCCTGGTACCAAAGCTTGGTATTGTCGCCGGTGAGGGCCTCCATGAAAGACGAACCAGGCAACCCGGAGTGGGTGTGAGATAGCTCACGAGCTTCCCCAAAGTCCATGCCGAAGGGACCACCTCCATCGTCCTCAATCTCATCCAAGGACCCATCCTCCCGTCGGCGTTTGATTTTCTTAGTGCTCCGCCGGAGCAGATTTATTTCCTGTGCGGAGATAGTTTCACTGGCTCTTTCTCTCTCTAGCTCCATCTATCCTTTCTTCTGTCAGTACTCCTACAAAAACTAAATTGACATTTCACTTAATCTACCAAAAAAAATTATGACGTGATTTATGTGCTTGTTAAAATACCGAATCAAAATGCACTAGGTATAGGATTAAATATTTCGCCTCAACTTACATTTACTAACTAAATGTAACCAAAATCTATTTGACTCTTATAATTCCTTTCTTTATTATAATGGGGTGTTTGAGAAATAAATTTTTTTGTAGATTTTTTTAGTTGTAGAATATTATTGAAAAAAAAAATTGTGTTTGAGAAGATAGGTTTTTTTGTGATTGGATGTGATGTATGTAAGAGAAAAAATAAAATAATTATAAAATTTGATGTGATATTTTGTTTGAATTGATTTTTTTTAATTTTGTAAAACATTTGTCTTGTAGTAAAAAAAATCAAAAAAAAACCTAAAAACTAAATTGCCAAACACTGCCAATATTCTTTCTCTTTATCATTGTTGTTGATGTGACAATTCATAAACTAAGCAATATTTAGATGAATAACTAAAATAAAAAAGAGAGTTAGTAAAAACATGAAAATAAATAGGCAAAATAAAATATATATATACACATTAATAGTAATTTTTAGATAAGTAAAGTATCTAATAGCATTAGAGATGCTCTTGTACAACGCTCATCTAAAGTTTTATATGACCAATAAATTGCGTTTCTACTGCTCACATAATTTACATTTAACAATATCCTCAAAAAAGTTTACATTTAACAATAAAAAGTAAAAGAAAAGAGTAAGTGATGGATTTCTAAAAATTTTAAAAAAAATTAAAAGAAAAAAAAAAAAACCATCTCCAATTCCAAGTTCGTAGCCCTTTTTGTTGTTTTCCTGAACATTATCAGAATTCCTTTTACATTTATGCTATGTTTGGTTGAAAATTTTAAAAAGAAATTTGAAAAGGAAAAGAGAAAAGATGTGTGAAACTAAGGCCAAGTTTGGCATAATTGGAAAAAGACAAAAAGTCAAAAAGTCACTATCCTATTTAAGTCACATCATCTTATTTAAGTCACATCACATCTCTAACACATCACTTCAAACCCAACCCAAACCCAACCTATATTTCATAAAAAGTCAAAAAATACACTTATTTAGTCTTCCCAAACTAGGCCTAAGTGAAATGTAAGTATATTTTATTCACATTTCACTTATATTTTTCATTTCTCTTTCTAAATCCCTCCTCAAATTCTCAAACCAAACACAGCACTAACGCTCTGTTTAGATAGCACATGATATGATACCATAAATTTTAGCAGACAATTCCACGGAATCAACAAAAAATATATTATCTCGAATTTGGCTAGAGGGCAATAAAAACTAAAACACATGTTTATTATTTCGCATTCAAAGAAATACATCCTCATTTTAGGAACTGAAAAAAAACAATATAGAGTACGACAAAAAACCAGAAATTGACTAAACTGTAGTTAGGCCCCCTTTGAATTCGGAGTAAGGGGGCAATAATTAAAAGCTCCAATCAAAAGGGAAGAATAGTTATGATGAAAGTTTTAAGCTTCTCAAGGTCGAACTAAGCAAAGAAAGCTTGCCGGGAGCTGTGTGCTTGTAGTCTTTCTCCAATGCTGTCACTGCCAGAGATTGCAACTCTGACTTCTCTTTGTCATCCTTGTTACGTCCTTTTGTCAGCTGTCCGATGCCAAACGTACACTAAATAACAGGAATAGGACTTTGTTTCAGTCATACAACTTGGCAACCATAAAACAAATATATATATATACACAGAGAGAGAGAGAGAAAGAGAGTGCTCACCAAGCAAACACCATAAAGTGCTCTGGTGTTCTTGCCACCGGTCAAGTCTATTGCAGATGCATAATATTTCTTAGCTGTCTGAAGGTTTTCCAGTCCACTAAGTGTGTAAAGCACCTGTTCAACCCAAAGAATGCAAAAGATTCAATTCAATTGATATCATTAAGAGTTCGGCTTTCCTTAAAGTTTAGAACTTGAGAGAACTTGATAACATGCAACAAGCGTGGTTTAAAAAAAAAAGGGCACAACTAATCCTGGGGAACCTAATTAAACCTTAGTGGATTGTACCATGCAACAGAAACTTTCAATACTCTCATAAACAGGAGAGCTCTATGTGCCAAAAAATAAGAAGAGACCTATGTAGATCAAAAAAACAATAATAATAATCACCTAGTCACATCTGACAGCACCTTGATGGTTCACCCAAGCAGCAGATTTATGTAGTGTAAAACCAGAAGAAGAGAAAAATAATCAAGAAGAAGAAATCGAGGACCACAATCCCAAAGTATCACTCAATATCAACGTCAATAATCAATATTATTCATCAAAATCTAATTAATATCACCAAAAATAGAATATACAACTAATTTATTAAATTTTAAAAATTAAATTAAATTAAATTAAATTTAAAAAAAAAAAACTTTAAAAGGAAACATAAATAAAATAGAATAAAATCCCTATTTTCTTTAATTGGTTGTCATCCAATGCCTTTCCGATCCCCATCACTAGTTACTTGCAAATGTAAATCTTCAGTTTGACAGCCCCGTCCAAGCCAACTAGAACCCAAAAACAATTTAATCTTCAGTTTTAATATTGCATCCCAATTTGGGCAATTTTTGACAGCCCCGTCCAAGCCAACTAGAACCCAAAAACAATTTAATCTTCAGTTTTAATATTGTATCCCAGTTTGGGCAATTTTTGACAGCCCCGTCCAAGCCAACTAGAACCCAAAAACAATTTTTACCAAGTGAAAAATTCATTAGCGAAAAGAACCTTGAAGGGGCGAACTGTGTCCACTCAAAAAGCCAGGTTCAGAAAAGCACATAATTTCAAATGGCCAGTTGCCCACCATTTGTTTTGGCGGAAAATATTTTTTAAAGAAAAACATTTTCTGAAGAACTTTTTCCTATATTTGGTTGCATTCTTGAAATTAATGCAATAATAGTTGCGTTAATGGTGGTAGTAGTAGCGACGGCGGGGGTGGTAGCGATAGTGATAGTGGCATGGTGGTGGCGGTGGTAGCAGTAGTGATAGTAGCATGGTGGTGGTGGTAGCAGAAATGATAGTAGTGGCGGTGGTGGTAGCAATAGTGATGGTAATGATAATAGAAGTAGTGGTGGCGGCATGATGGTGGTGGTGGTAGTAGTGGGGGAGGCATGGCGGTAGCGGTAGCAATAGCGATGATGGTGGTGGTGGGGGTGGTGGCGGCGGCGGCGGTGGCGGCAATGGTAAAACCTTAGTTCAGAAAATGTTTTCCACCTTTTAAAAGTGAAAAACATTTTCCGCCCAAATAGGCTTATTTTCTATTTATCATGGAAAATGTTTTCAGTTGACTTTTGTTTTTCGTTGCACTAAACACTAGAAAATGCAAAAAACATTTTCTGAAAAATATTTTTCGCCAAAACAAACGGAGGCTATGAAGCACTGACACGTTCCTAGGGCCTGCGTACGAGTGTCGGGCACACGGTGGACATGTGTCCGACACTCTCTCTAACGTGTCCTTTTTTTTTTTTTTGAATTTTTGCAGTCAGAGACATCATGGGCACGCTGTGACACTTTCTGGACACGCCTAAGGTGGATCGAAGCCCTAACTGTTGGAGAGGAAGAGAGAGAGATCGAGGGAGGAGAGGAGACAGAGAAAGAGAAATAGGGACAAAGAAAAAGATCAAGGGAGGAGAGAAGACAGAGATCGAGGGAGGAGAGGAGAGGAGAGGAGAGGAGAGGAGACAGAGACAGAGATCGAGAGAGGAGAGGAAAGGAGAGGAGCCCTAACCTGTTCAGATCAATTGAAGAAACTGAGGTATTCGTCTGCTCTCTTCTTCTTCGCCTCGTCCTCTTCGTCTTCTGTCTCCATCTTCTTCTCCTTCTTCTCCTCCTCCCTTTTCTTCTTCTCCTGTTCTCTCTCTCTCTCTGATTTCACTTTCCCTCCTTTGCCGATTCACTTTCCCCTCTTTTTTATTTCACCCGTTTCTCTCTCTCTCTCTCTCTTTCTATTTCTCTCCTTTATTTTCTTCCCTCTTTTTTTTCTTTTTTCTTTTTTTTTATCCTTATTTTTGTTAAACCTAAAATTTATAAAATAAATTATTTTTATTTAAAAAAACTCATTTTTATTAAAAAAAAATTAAAAATATGTTTATTAATTTTATTATTATTGTAATTGTATAAAAATTAATGATTTTTTTTTTATTTTAGACATAATAAATAAATAAAATTATATATATTAAACGTGTCCCCAGCGTGTCGTGTCCACTATTTTTTCAAAATTTGCGTGTCCCCGTGTCCGTGTCGTGTCCCGTGTCCGTGCTTCATAGAACGGAGGTGGAAACATTGGATTCCAACATCTCAATCTACGTCCAATTAATAATTAATTTTACAAGCCCGTCACTTGAAACTCCATCGAAAACCTTTCCAATGTCTAATTCCAAAACCAGTCGGTAAGAGGTTCCAAACTCTAAAAGAACTTTTTATTTCTATTTTATCACCCTTGATAGCAACAGCTATCAACATAGGTAAATTGGAAAGCCCTTTAACCAGTCAGGGAAGATGAGCTAGTTATACGGGTAATGTACAGTGAGGTTTACACACAGGTTTCCAGTCAAAAACTCGATCAGTCTTAGAACCATCAAACAACAAAGTCCAAGGAATGAAGAAACACAAGAGGCCAGGCCAAATGCAGATTCATTGTCGATTTCTAGACAAGAATGATCGCCAAGAAAATCTGACAGGGCCAATCTTTACACAACTCTTTGAGGAATGTATTGGAAGGAAAATTCGATTAATGCCAAAGCCCATTTGCCAATTCGGCCTCTCATATAGGCCGAGAAAGCAAATCATTAATGAGACCAGTTTTGCAAACCAAGTAAACTAAAACAAGAATCATATAATACCTCAATTTTATTGTAGAAAAATACAAAGCACGACATAATTTCTCAATTGGATTGTATCTACATTCAACAAGAGTTAGAAGCCGGCTGAGATAATAAACTGCCTGGTCCTTTTCACTGTCATTATCCTGAGCTAATAGACTCCCAATAGAATTCTCATATGCAAAAATGTAAAGCTTCAAAGTTTTATTCTTAATAGGTGGAGCTTCAAAGCTTTATTCCTAATAGAATTCTTCTTGACCCATCATAGTTTGGTCTTTTGAGCCCAAAAGATTTGTTCCGTAAAAAATCTTTCTTCAAACTTAGCTTTTAATTCAATCCTTTTATTCCTCAAGTTTCCATCCAAACCATCCCTCACCTCAATAATATCCAGCTCTTCTATTCTTTGGGTAAGCTCCTTTTTCCTCTTGCTCACGCCACCAAAAACCTCTCTATTCCACTCCTTCAATCTCTCCATCATTTTCAATTTCCTCATGAATTTGAAACCCTCCATCCTTGACATCTACAACCTGTCCACCAATCCTCAAAATTGTCTTTAAAAGAATGATGCCTCTAACCACATTTTATAAACCTGAAAGATGATGGTCCCCATTTAAACAAACTCTCAATCACAACAGGACAATGATTAGAAATGATTCATAGAAGTGCACCCCCTGCCTTGTGTTTGGGAAAATCTCATCCCATCCTACTGAAAACAAGAAACAATCCAACATACAACAGACCACCCTCTCGAAAAGATTGAACAAGTGAATCCAACATTAAGAAAACAAGGATCAATCAAACCACAATCTCTAATAAAGAAGTCAAAATCCCTCTCCTCTGTTAACTGAGGTCCCATTGAGCTTTTATGATAGAAACATAACCACATTAAAATCTCCCCCCATACACCAATTGGAATAACACAACCCATATAGACCTACAGGCTGCTCCCACCACTCCTGCCTTCTCCCAAAACTATTGGGACCATATACCCCAAATAACCACCACTCATTATCAATATTCCTACACCTAACTGACCATTGTTTGGTGGTGTCGATGGTCTTTCTATTCACATTTTCCAATTCTTTATTGATCTTGTCATTTGGCTTGGTCCCTTTATCGTCAATTGGATCATACAAATCCTTGTAGTAAAGAATGTCCTCCATTTTAGGTTTCCAAACCAAATAATTCGGACGTGTGAATTTAACCATGGTGTTGGGACTTCTATCCATCTTAAACACAATAGAATCAAGATATCTGATATTGTGTGGGTGCAGCCTATAATAGCATTTATTGCATGCATAAGGAAGTGCAAGAGATGGCCGACGCTCATTCTTTATTATCTGAATAAATTATTGAAAAGATGCATGCATGACTGGATATTTCAAAGCAAGTAATTGCAAGAGCAAGGTCAATGGACTCATTTAAATGCATCATGAGCTTAGAACTCCAAATAAGAGTAGTTACCTTGCTTGGTAATTCGAATCGTCATACATGCATAGAAGCATTTAGATGTTTCATTCAGCACCTACAAAAAGGTGGTACTCATAGTGTTTTGGGTAGAGAGAAAATATAGTAAAAGACTTTGAACCATGGTTTTTTTAGAGGCTTCAAATGAAACATTACTCTTTAAATGCTAGTCACAGAGAACTATAGCCTTCATTTTTAGTGTTCCACTGTGGGTTGAACCACACCAAAGGAGACTTTGTGCGAGTTGTGCTGTTGAAAGTGAAGTTATTGTATTCAGTCAAGTGAGGTAATTTACCGTCTCCCTTGTATTCTGTGTTTGATTATAGTGGATTCATAGGAGCCTAGGCCGTGAATGTAGGCAATTGCCGAATCACATAAATTCTTGGCGTTTCTTTTGTGGTTGCTCTCTCTCTCTCTCTCATTTAGTCTTGTCTATGTATTCTTCTTATTATTCATTTGGCTTTGGCATTATATTATTGGTTATTTTTCGCAAACTTCTCTTTGGCCCAACAATAAGAATTTCCTAGAATAGGATGGTGTTTGTTGGCAATCTATAAGGTCGTCTAACATGTTATGTTAAATAAAAACAATCACCCAACAAGATAACCATGAGCCACAACTTTATATCCCATACTCTCACACACCAATTTACTCAAACATGTTGCTGACTTCTTCGAGCCAGATACCCAATCAGATATTCAGCTTTTGAAAAAGATACTACACTACTACAGGGGGAGCCACATGAAAAACACTAGTCCCACTTCTTGGATCCAGCCCAATCAGGACAGTCTTATTTGCTTCAGCAAGAGCTCGGTTAAAGCTTACAACATCATCATCTTATGATATGTTTTAGAATGTTAATGACTTCTATAATCCTCAGTCAATCGAGAAAGAAAGAAAGAAAAAAAAAAAAATCAGAGTTGATTCTGAAGGAAATGAAGCAATTTTCCTTGGATAGGTAAAACCAACCACTTGTCTAGACAAATTTCACAGAAATAGGAAACAAGCCAGCTGTGTAGATTTGAGCATGTTTAGTCATACACCATCTACATCCTTCAAGAATGCTCTTTGGCCTAATAAATTTAAAATTGTGGCAGTGATCACCAAGATTTTGATTCCAATAACAATCCAGAATGCACCACTTTCTTGTCAATAGCATTCTGTGAGACAAGCAAAATCATACCTAATGCAACTTATGTAAAATGATGTCCCACGAAAAGTTCTCACTAGGGCTTGTACTGGGTAGTGTTTTGTGCTTTAACCCTAAGAGGAAAACAAGAAGGAAACTCCTTATCCATGACATATGTCTCTACAACTATTACTTTTCCCGGGAAACAGATGGATTTCCAAAAAAAATATAAAGCCCTAAAATAAATTCCACTTACATCGGCATAGGCTAGGTGATACAGTGGATTTGTTGGTTGAGATAAGATTAGCTCTTCGTAGCAGAAAGAGGCTTGCTTGTACCTAGTTAAACCATAAAAGAAAAAGAAAAAAGAGAACACATAGCACAAGCTAAGGTAATCTATAAATTCTCCAGAGAAATACTCAATATTTAATTACTTGTTTTCCTGTAAAATACAAACTACAAGTATCTCACATTTGTAGAGAGACATATATTTCAGCGAGTTCCCTCCAGGCATCATGATCTGCCATAAATCTGGAAATAAAAAATAAAAAAAATCAAACCATGCAACCACACAAGTTAGAACATTAATAAAATTGAAAACGTATGCTTTTGAGATCTTCCTCACATTTCCAGATATTTATTTAGCCATTCAATGGCCCCTGAAAGATTGCCTTGGGCCTTTGCCATAGCTGCCCTCCTCTTGTGAATTACCTGAATTAGAATAATGAAAAAGAGTTGACGTGTAAGACATAGGGTTAGTTTTTCTATCTCCACTAGTAAGGACAGCATCCCTTTTCTTGCAAAGGAAGAAGTTGAACCATTCGATTAAAAATGAATGTCAGTTCGTGAAGAACCTGTATAGGAACTTACTTGATCCAGTGGATTATCCTCCAAAAGGCTTGAGTAAGCTTTTTCTGCCTCCGCCCACAATCCCTTAGCTTCAAGCAGCATTGCTTCTAACCGACCTGTAATTATGCCAAACTAGTACTATAAACCATGGCAATTCAAAAAAAAAATAGGCATTTTCTAATCCAGGCTGCCACACCCTTTTGTCACTGAGAACTATTATGTCAACTGCATTCACAATATTAGAGGAGGATCTTTTAAGAGTCTTGAACAAGTATTTCAATAATATATCCAGCAATTCTATAAACAAATATATCAATTGATGTAGGACAGCACTGAATTTTGAAAGCAGAGAGTAATTTAGGGTTTAAAGGGTTTAAAGGGTTAAATTTAGGATTTAGGGAAGGGATTAGGGTTGCTTTGGGAGTGATTGAAAGGAGTTTTGAGGTTGAAAAGTGCACTTTGAGAGGGCTGTGAATAGTAATCGGAGAATAGTAAATTGAAACAAAAAGAAGAAGAAAGAAGAGAAGAAGATAGGTCTAGGTATCGCACCTAAATTTCGTAGGCATCACACCTAGGGTTAGGGTTGCATCACACAAACCAAAAGAGGCTTCAAAGCTCTCAAAATTCTCTAAAATATCAACTCTATTAAAATATAAGCATTACATGGCTTTATATAGAACTAGGAGACTTCCTAAACCAATTGTGAAAAAAATAAATCAATAAAAGAACCATGATTGGTGGCTCGAATTTCATCTTGCCCCAAATGGCTTGAATTTTGGCTTGCCGATCGACCAGCCGGTCATCTGGCCAGTTGTCCGGCAAGAAGGTTAATAGCTGCGATCGACAATGTGACAACCGCAATAAATAAATGTTACACCGTTCGTCTGGATGGTCGCTCTGCCAGTCGTCCGGCAAGCACAAATTCGGGCCATTCAGGCAAGCTCAATTCGAGCTACCAAGAATTATTCAAAAAAGAAACTACTAAAATATCTTTGACTTCTAAAATTAATTTAAGACTAAGTAAGAAACAAATACAAAAACTAATTAAATAACTTGACCCATAAGACGACCCTCACTTTGGACTCTAGCCTTTACTTGAGTAATAACTAGATCTTATTGAGGCGCTTTTGCATCATCAATAAGTGCCTCATTATCCTTCAAAATTTATTCATCTTTCATCTTAGGAAAATTCTGAACATATTCATTGGCATGCAATTTCAATTGTGTACAGTTTTCATCCCTAAGAACAATATTTGGTTTTGGTGCATCTTCTTGTGGCTTTTCATCATCTTCTTGTGGCACCTTAGCCCTATGTTTAGGAGTTTTTGTTGGTTTCTCTTGTTAGACAGTCTTTCCATTTTGCACAGGCTTCAAAACTATAGATTTGTCCTTAAATTTTACAAAAAACTCAAATTGTATAACTATTTCAATAGCATCTTTGAGATCTTCCAAATATGCATGAGACATCTCTGTTTTAATTCCAAATCTCAATCCACTTTTGAAATGAGTAATAGTCATCCGTTCACTTTCGACAACTCTAGACTTGATAAATAACTCCTTATATTTTCTTGCATAATCAATCACATGCATATTACCTTACTCAAGAGCATACAATTGATCAAGAAAATCATCTTGAAGATCCCTTAGACGAATATTTTCTCTAAGAAGCACTTTACCTTCTTCCCAAGTCAATCCACTTGTATTGGATCTCCCACAATGTGAAAATATCATGGCGAAACCTTAAGCTCTGATACCAAACTGATGCAGAACAGTGCTGAATTTTGAAAACAGAGCGAGTAATTTAGGGTTTAAAGGGTTAAATTGAAGGCTAATAGGTAGGGGAAGGGATTAGGGTTGATTTGGGAGTGATTGGAAGGAGTTTTGAGGTTGAAAAGTGCACTTTTAAAGGGCTGTGAATAGTAATCCGAGAATAGTAAATTGAAACAGAAAAGAAAAAGGAAGAAGAAAAGAAGATAGGTCTATGTATCACACCTAGAGTTAGGGTTGCATCACACAAACCTAAAGAGGCTTCAAAGCTCTCAAAATTCTCTAAAATATCAACTCTATTAAAATATAAGCATTACATGCCTTTATATAGAACTAGGAGACTTTCTAACCAACTATAACCAAAAAGAAAATTACTAAAATATCTCTGACTTCTAAAACTAATTTAAGACTAAACAAGAAACAAAAACAAAGGCTAATTAACTAATTTGACCCACAAGACTCATGGGCGACCCATATTCGGAAATTCTGCAAATTACCAAAATACCCCTAAGCTTAAAATCCTAGAAAACATAAATATAATTACAAAATAAGACTAATAATACTAGAAACATAATTATAAAAAATTTCTATCAGTTCCTCTATGAAATCATGCCAATGTCTAAATATTTATCACTTCTTTAAATTTAACCTTCCTTGAGCTTCTTATATTCTGCATCATCAATCTAACTAGTAGTTGATGTATAGTTCAAATAGAAACTACCCTTATTGATCCAATGGGCAACAATACGTCCTTATCAGGGGGATCAGTCCACTATCAACTGATACATCCTGCGATTGTGTGACAAACTTCACCACAACAAGAAGTCACATAGAGCTCTAAAGGATTTTGAAAACCATCTCTCTCTCTCTCTCTCTCTCTATATATATATATATATTTACCCCAAAAAAAGTGGGCACAGTACTATAGGACTTAACCGAGAAAGTACTATGTCCTGAATTACTGACCACGAACCTAGTACTTTCTCAGTTAAGTCCTGTAAGCTATCTTCCAATTCATACAATTGATGCAATGACCACCTATAATGTCTTAACTGATGAGGTAGAAACAACCAACAGGATGCAAGGTTGTACCACAAAATCAACAAACTTTTGTTACGATGGATACAATCGTCACAAGGATAAGAAATTCTATCCAAATTTCCAAAGGAGAGAACTGGTTGTGCTATGGATTTAAATGGTTCCACTCTGTCTTGCAGAAAATCTGGAGTAACATAATTGAAGGAATTAAGTAAATGAGTCATAGCCTCTTAGGCTACACAAGGAAAAAACTGCAACATATCTTTTATATTTCATTGTAGACAACTTGGTGATTGTGGATTACCCCATTTTAGATCATTATTATAGTACATGCATTCCTGATCCATGCAGCCTATCCACATCATTACGATGCTAGACCTCACCAACACAAGGCAACTGCCTAGAACACCACGTGGAGCAATGAGGTGTCGTCACATGTCCAACTAAAAAGCCCAAACACACCCATTCTTTGGCCAAGCATGCCCCACCCTATGCTGTGACCTAATTAGGGTTTCCTTGGACTCAGAAAAGTGGCTCTCTAGTCAAGTAACTTATCCTCCTCAACTTATAAGACCTCACAAAGCACCTACAAAACCTATGAAGCACGGACACAGACACAGGACACGACACGGACCCGTGGACACGCAAATTTTTAAAAAATGGGGGACACGACACATTGGAGACCTGCTCAATATATATAATTTTTTTATTTATTATGTAAAATTAAAAAAAAATTTATTTTATTTATTTATTTTACTTTAATATCAAATATCATTCCCAAATTAATTTTTTTTGTACAAATAAAAATAATTTATTCTATATGTTAATGCTTAGCAAACAAGAATATTAAAAAATATAGAAAAAAGTAAAAGAGGGGGAAAAAAGGTTTTTTTATTACTAAAAACAAAAAAGGTACACACACACACAAAAAAAAAAAAGAAGAAGAAGAAGAAGAAATAAAGAATCAAAGAGGGAGAGAGACAGCAACACGAAGAAGGGAGAGAGAGTCTAACAAAAAAGGAGAGAGAGCGTCGAACAAGGGAGACGAACAGAGAGAGAGAGACGAAAGAAGCGATACATAGAGAGCACCGAACAGAGGAAGAGAGAGAGTCAAAGAAGATGAACAAGTTTGCCAATAAATAAAGAGCACCGACCAGACGGAGAGAGAGAGAGTAAAAAACACACAGATTGGAAGAACATACATCGATCTAGCCTCGATCTAGGGCTTCAACAGGTTCTTCACCCTTTCTCTTTCTCTTGCTCTCTCTCTATCTTCAATGAGTTAGGGTTTCTTTCTCTGTCTCCGGGGTTAGGGTTTCTCTCTGTCTTCAACGTGTCCAAAAGTGTCCAAAAGAGTGTCTGGCTACAAAAATTCCAAAAAAAAAAAAGAGGGCACGTTAGGTAGAGTGTCCGACACCCATACGTTGCCTCCGGAGAAGTGTCCAAAGAGGGAGAGAGACAGCAACACGAAGAAGGGAGAGAGAGTCTAACAAAAAAGGAGAGAGAGCGTCGAACAAGGGAGACGAACAGAGAGAGAGAGACGAAAGAAGCGATACATAGAGAGCACCGAACAGAGGAAGAGAGAGAGTCAAAGAAGATGAACAAGTTTGCCAATGAATAAAGAGCACCGAACAGACGGAGAGAGAGAGAGTAAAAAAAACACAGATTGGAAGAACATACATCGATCTAGCCTCGATCTAGAGCTTCAACAGGTTCTTCACCCTTTCTCTTTCTCTTTCTCTTGCTCTCTCTTTATCTTCAATGGGTTAGGGTTTCTTTCTCTGTCCCCTGGGTTAGGGTTTCTCTCTGTCTTCAACGTGTCCAAAAGTGTCCAAAAGAGTGTCTGGCTACAAAAATTCCAAAAAAAAAAAAGAGGACACGTTAGGTAGAGTGTCCAACACCCATACGTTGCCTCCGGAGAAGTGTCCGTGCTTCATAGAACAAGACTCTCATAGTAACTTGTGCTCAAAGAAAGACCTAGGGTTAGTACCTTGGTCATGGTTCGTGGGGTGAACCTAAGCACACACAGGAGCCACAACCTTAAAACGCTCCCAATCTTATTAATCAATTCCAAATAATACCATGCCAAACACTCTTACTTATAAGCTAATAACCCTAACAGAAAAAAGTAAACTAAAATCCCTAATAAAATAAAAAAACCAAATATTAATAAGACTCATAATTAAAAAATAAATATAAATACTAAAGACATCAAATTATAAAATTGTAAATAAAGCCTCCATGCCAAACTTGTTGCACACATGCATGAATATTGAACTCCATGTTCCACATCATCCTCCCCGACTGAGAAAAAAACTCAACCTCGAGTTCCCTTTTAAATATTGAATTCATCCATGCTAGTGAGTCAAATACTTGGATTATGCTAACTTCTTTATTTTCTTCAAAATCCAATTAATCTTGGTTTTCAAGTTGTTGACGACGTCCACCAGACATGGATTGAACACGCAAAGAAAATCCTCAACACCAATCAAATCAACTTTGTCTAACTTGATCAAAGCATTGGTTGCTTCATAGGTCAATAGGAAGCTCTTCTTTTGGTAAAACCCTTTTTGGTGTAGGATGTGATTGCCCTTCAATTATGACTGCTTGGTCTTCAATACCTTCCGAATTTTCTGTCAAATACACATCACATTTCTCATGCTTGGGAACTTCTTGATCAGGATTTTTCATTTGATCCTCACAATCCCTCTGCAGAATTCCTAAAATATCCCCTAAAAAGTGAGCCAATAATTTGTCCAAAGTCACTAGTATGTGACTCATCTACACTTCCTATCCTCTCTCAAGGGACCTACTCCTCGACCAATCTTGGAGAGAGGATTCCTTTGAAGACATCTCTAAGCCATAATAAGCGATAGATGCAGAGTCATACATCAGTTAGCCGTTGCAGCATCTATGAGCACTCCAGCACCTAATACAAATGACCTCTGCATCTCATTGTAGGCCAAAAGTTGGCAGCCACCTATCCCCAAGTCTAATCAGAGCACACAAATAGGCTCCATTTGACTGCCCCTCTGGACTGACTCTTCTATAGAGAAAAGACCTCCACTGGTCCTTGTGCAATATAAAAAGAAAGATCACTTCACCCATGCACTAACTATTGTCCGACGTTTGCTAGACCCAATATTGAGCATCCAAAGCCTCCAAGTATATCTAAAAAAAATTATCAATGCATGCTGTCATGACCAACCCTTCTTTAAATAGAAGGCCTCCTCCCCTATTTAATAAGAAGAGAGATCATTCTGACCAGGTACTAACTATTGTTCACTAGACCTAAGTCCTCTACTGCCCTTCTGCTCTCACCCAGCCCTTCTCCAGTGATCTTGAGCCACATTGGAAACCACCATGACTTCCCAAAATGATTCACAACTTGCTGATCCTCCACTTTGACCATAGTTATTAAAGTGTGTAAAAAATATAAGACACAATGACTTGACTTATTTTCCAACGCAAAACCAAAGCTTTCAAGTACATCTGAAAAAACTTATCATGGAACTTTTTTGCATTATGTATTTGAACTCAAAAAACTGAAATTACACATAAATTACAAGAAGGTGAAGAGTGTTACTCTATTCTGCGCAATGCACATTTCTAGGGAGAGAACTTGACACTTAATTGAAGGAGTAGCTAACATTGTTCACAAAATCAAAGGCCTATAAATCTCTCCCTTGATGATGCTTTGAGTTTTCTAGTTGTTCCTTCTTAGAGACGGACAGGCTTCATGGTATGTGCCACATGTACATGGGATGCACCTCAATTGGTGACTTTTTAAGTTTTTAATTAATCCTTACATATACTACTTATGAAAAGAATAGAGGGGGGAAAAAAACAAAATAAATTAAGTCTAAAGTTCGAAAGGGCCCTAATAAATATCTTATATGAATCACTAAAATATCATTTTATAACATAACCATTAACCACTTTAATTCTCATCCCATTTATTTCTATAGCCTCAAATTTCAAGATCTCAAATCATATATATAGGCCTCATCCACCCATGGCATGGTGTTTGTGCATGTGACTACATATTGACACAACTTATGTCAGTTGACCACCTTTTCCGGCAATGTGGTCTCATTCCAGGCATTTGTTTAGAAAATACCACCATTTTGCAGCAATGCCACTACTGTCGCTAGAGTGACTGCAGGCAGAAGAGGTACCCAGAATAATGAAAATGATGTCAGTATTGAGCATATTGTTTTTCTGAGATATTTCACTGGCCAGGATATTTTGACATAAAATATGGGCTATGAATTTAAGTCATGTCACTCAAAAACGACCAACTTATTTTTGACATAAAATATGGACCATGAATTTAAGTCATGTCACTCAAAAACAACCAACATAAGTAAGCGTGCAAAGGCTACCTATTCCAATAATAATAATAATAATAATAAACAAATAAATGAATTTCAATGCCATTATATAGCAATAAGTTAGTTGAACTCACCAACCCTCTTGCTCTCAGGGAATTTCTTTTGTAAAACCTTTATGCAGTCCTGCATTGCATACGAATTCATGGTATAAATTGCATCAACTTCATGTTCAACTGATTGAATACCAAATATAACTGCCAGTCCAAATATGCATACATAGATGCAATGCCAGATACGTAGTTCAAGGAATGATGAAAGAAGCTACATGCATTTGCTTTTATTTGACAGGTAATTATTTGACAAATAAGAAAAATCACCAGGACTTCCAAGGGGCCACAACATATGTATACACATTGTGTCAAAGTGAGCAAGAAGACCATACATCCACTCGGTCTCATTACATGAAAATGTAACAAAACTAAGATAAATAATCCACAAAGAAAAAGCATCACCCTTACAGCCCAAAAACAATTACAAGAAGAACATCCAAATGCTTCAACTTCCCCATTGTGTATACTCCCCCTCTAATGAGACCTCCCACACTGATCTACCTATAACTCCATACCCTCTTCTCCAACTATTCAAATTTCAACCACCCATCTAACCAAAACCCAGTGAGACCTGAATAGTGAAAAGAGAAGGGACCACTTCCTCACTCCCCAGCAGTAGAATAAAAGAAACTAACCAACATGTCATGTTCACAAGATAATACCAATACAAAGACAATTATATCCAGAACAGAGCCCAGCAATTGATAGCGTCTACTGCAACATGTGAAAAAGCAATGGATACTGTTCTAAATTGGAGTAATGTACCCCCATACCTTACAAGTTTTAGCCCAATAAATATGAACTCCTCACCAATCTGACATGATCTGATGCATAGGCGGTTAATCTATAAGCTATACATGCCACTATCTGCCACCAACACCACTATCATATTATATACATGTCACTATCTTATTATATACATTAACACAAATTTCCAGCATGTACCCCCATACCTTACAAGTTTTAGCCCAATAAATATGAACTCCTCACCAATCTGACATGATCTGATGCATAGGCGGTTAATCTATAAGCATGTGTTAATGAAATGGTTTTGGGAGTGAAAAAAATATTTATCAAAAGAACTATTTTAACTACATGTAAATAGCATGTCTATCGTGATATCTCAATTAAAAGTTAATAGGACAGATGAAGAAGCTATAACTTGCGGAAAAGGATGCAGGATGGACAACTGAATTTCTATTAAGTAAAAAGGTTCCACCATTTACATATAGGAGAAAGCAACATGGCCTACTCTGTTCACTGACAACATAAATTTCAATGTAAAAACCAAGTAGAGGAAAACAGTAAGCAATCATGAGCATTGCATACAAACTATGCTGAATCCTGTATCAGATTTTCATTTGGCTCGGTAAAAAGAGAAAGGAAAGAATAAAAAACACAAAAAGGAAGGAGAATTTCCAAGCTCAAGCCAAGCCCCAAAATTCTTGCTCAGGCTAATTTATTGTACTCAAGAGGCACACGAGCTCAGGGTTGCTATGGGTACATGCCCTACAGTTCGAAAACTTATATCTTACTAATTGTTAAATACTCAATTCTTAAGCTAAAAATTTGGAAACTTATAGTGATAAAAGAATAAGTCATTCTGGCAAATCAAAATGTGGCATCACCTCGAATTTTAAGTCAGATTTCCAAATAATTCTTAAGATTCATTTAAATTTTACTGGAAAGAAAATGAAAACTGAGTATTGCCCTCAAGTTCCTCCCCCGTGAAGTGGCAAACAACCTTGTCTCATCTCTTTTTTGTTCACACGCATTTTCCTCCAATCTCACTGCAGCACGTGAGACCCACTACTAAAATTTTCAAGGGATTCCATTTCCAAGCTCGGTCAAGCTTCAGCGTCAATCAACACTCTACTTGGCATATTCCAAACATTACCTATCTTGAGTTCTAAACTCCTCTTCATCATGATGTGCCTCTGCTGCGATTTGCATCCCAATCCCTCCAAGATGGTGGCCCCACACATTCAAGGGTTCCAAAGTTAACCACAAGAACAATCACCTTCGCAATCTCATAGATCCTCTTTGTCAATAGAGGGATTGTTAACAACCACCAAAACACCTAGCTCCATTGTCAGAGCCTCAGCATTTGAGTCTCTTCTCTTGACTCGTCCAGTTTAGAATGAAAGTAGCTATAAAGCCCTACTACCTAGTTTGTTTGATTCGAAAGGCAAACATTGTTGGCAAATTCAACCATTTCTTACAGTTGAATTTCATTCAATCCTCAATGCAAGCTAGCTCTTGCTTGTGTTTAGTGAGAAGGCTACCTAAAATAGATGTGAATATACCCCTAGTTGTGATTTCTTCCTTGGGATATGTGAACCAAGTCTCCGGTAAACAATGTTAATCATGATTCTCGGAGGTGAGCGGATCAACGAAAGGCTATTTCTAGCCCATCCTCAGTAGCCACCTTAGTTAATTTGCTTTTCTTCTTGGAAGATCTGTTGATCATGGTTCATGGAAGATGATCATCTATGTGTCTCTCCAAATGGGTTTCCTCTCTCAGTATACCCACAATCTTCCTTCCATGCATCAACCAATGAAAATTGCTTATTTGTAAGTTGGATATTGAGAAAGCCTACAACCATGTAATTGGAAACTCCTAATGTAATGTTTAGGAGAGAATGGGATTCAAGCGAAAATTAAGGGTTGAATCCAATTATGTATTTCTTTTGTCAGGCTCTCAATATTAGCTAGTGGATCCCCGCTTCGCTTTTTCTAGACATCAAGAGGCTCGCATTAGGGAACCCTAGTATCCTTTGTTGTTCATCTTGATTATGGAGGTGTTTAACAGAGCAATTGAGAAGGCAATTTATTGGGCATTGGAACAAAATTAGGTGAATTGATGGATTTTTATTATTGATATCCCATTTACTTCATATTGATGATACTAATATATTTTTGGAGGCAGAGGAGCAACAATTGAATATCTTTGTTGTGTGCTTTTGTGTTTTGAGGTTGTTTCGAAGCTGGAAGCATGAAGTAAATTTGGAGAAATCGGACCTTATTCCTATTGGTGATGTGCCAAACGTGGGGGATTAAGTTGATATCCTTGGATGCAAAGTGGAGTCTTTGCCTTTTTCATACTTGGTTCTTCTCAAGAGGAAGGGTATTTGGGATTTGATTATTGAGAGATTTCATAGGCAATTTGGGAAATGAAAGAATCATTATTTGTCCAAAGGTGGGAGAAAGCACCTTGTCTGACTTCCCTACCTAGCTCATGTTGCTCACTATCACAGCCTCGGCAAATCAACATGATTTCCTTTAGGGTGGGGTAAGGGATGAGTTCAAATGCCATCAAGTGGATTCGGATATTGTGTGTTCTCCATTGAGAGGAGGGCTGGATTCAAAGGTTAACAATCTTCAACCAAGCTTTGTTGGGAAAGTGGTTGTGGATGTTTGCTTGCAAGAGGAAGAGATAAGAGTGGAGTACGAATATGCATGCATGTAGGAGGCAGGCATCAGAGAAGCTAACTATGTTTTGTGGTCTAGGGTTGTGGAAAGGCATCCATAACAGGTGGGGAATAGTAAACAAGCAAGGTTCTAAAATCATTTACGGCATGGCAAAAAATATGTTGGAAATGACTTATTGGGTATTTCTACAGCATTCCTCATATTGTTCACATTGTGACAAATAGAAAGGCAGGTATCGTGAATATATCAAGGTATATGGCAGCCATGTACTTTGGGATATTGACCTTAGCAGGGAGAGACCTAAATAATTGAGAGATTGGGGGAGGTGTTGGATCTTCTTGGGCATCTTTATGCTATTCCTTGCTTTGGTGATGTCAGGGACAAAATCAGATGGATGAGGTCAAATTACAAACATTTTGAGGTTAATGAGGGACCAAGGTGGGCAAGGTGGGTATGTTTTCCTTGGAAAGGGAGAATGAGGGACCAAGGCTCCTTCTAAAGTTGAATTTTTTTTTGTGTGGGCAACAGTGTATAGAAAGATTTTGACCATTGACAACTTGATTAGGAGTAAGTAGATCCACGTTAGCTGGTGTTGTGTTTGCACACGATGGGAAGTCTCATGTTATTCACTGTGAGGTAGCATAAGATTTGTGGTCTTTTAATCCTTCATTATGTTTGGTTTGGAGTGGGCTTTCCCTTGGAAGGTGGGGGGGCTTTTTCATTCTTGGAGAGGAGGGCAAGTAGAAAAAATGAGGAAAGGCTTGGTGTTTGGTGCCTTTGGAATTGATGTGGATCGTGTGGGGAGAACATGATAAAACTTTTGATGGGAGAGAGGAGTGGTTACAACTTCCATTGCATCCTCATCCCCTCCTTATAGTTGTTTTCATTCCCTTCGCCTCTAAATTTTTAAGGTCTCTTTCAAACTCTCAAGACTTTAAAAACCATCAATGAATCAAAACAATTTAGAAGAAACCATTACTACATTGTTGCGCCAAAGGGCTTATCCCTACAACTAGACAAATGTGAGGAAAGTTTATGCTCAAAGAGGGGCTTCTTGAGCCGCACTTCAGAACGAATGATGCACCAAATTCTATAAGTTAGTATATTTAGAAGTTGAATAGGTAGTTCACAGAGAAAGCTTAAGCTCCTTTAAGCAGATGATGGGAATCCAATGATTTACAGATCTCCGATTTTATTCCCTCTTTAGATAAAGACTGCTCTGAAATAGACTTAAAGACTGCTTAAAGCTACTGATATATCACGTAGCAAGTAACAGTTCAGCATGGAACTCGCTATCAAAAAAATTATTCAGCCTTTAGAAAGGCCAATTAAGCAGTCTATGAAGATCTCCATTTTCTAACATTATATTAGAACTTAAAGATAAATGAATGTGTGCAGGTTCCAGAGTAATCAAATGTTCAATAGAGACAAATGAGTTGGAAAGCAATTCCAGAACTAAATAAAAGAAAGAAAAATCTCTACCCTTGCAACATCAAGGCATTGGCTATCCATAGCTGCAATAGCAACCTGCTCATACAAAGTCCATTCTACATAACAAAAAAAGGAAAGAAAAACACCCATTAATATGAAGTTCAAGCTAAAAAACAGAGGGCATCCTAAGATGTCCATTTCAGTAAAAATTTATCATTAGAAAGTACAGTTGACCATGATACTAATTACTGATAAAATTTTTACTGATACTACATCATGATACTAATTCAATGATACTAATTCGTGATACTTATGATACTAAAATTCATCATGATACTAATTACTGATAAAATAATGCAAGTACAGTTGACCATTCAATGCTGACTTTAATACTCTTAGCCTCATAATTTAGCTTGTGTTTGGTTGTGGCAATCTCATTTTGCGACGATTGGATAGATGAAATTCCAAGCCATACATGATCAACATCTGCACAAAGTACAATTGGTCCCCTACCAATAATTTGAAACATGAGGCACCTTCACAGCCTGATAATAATTGTGCACAACAGAGAAACTTTCTTTGAACTGGTGAATTTTTTACATTCACATGTTTCACTTTGGAGAAAATCACATTGCCAACTTCAACATGAGTCGGATGCTTGGATCTCCACAGTTCTCTTTTAATTGAGTTATTGTTTCAACCATATACAAATGAATCATCTTTTACCTTCCAAGGAAAAGGGAAAGAATTTAACCGTGGTGCACTTGCAGGAAACTCTTTGTCGAGGACTTGTGGACCCCTAGGGATTAGTCTGGGTTTGATCCGGACACCCCAGTGCCAATCAAGAAAAAAAGGGAAAGAATTTATTTCCATACATTTTGTTACCTGTAGCGAACAGCTTCTAAGATAGAATAAATAAAAATGCTGTAACAAGAAGAATAGAAGAGAAAGTTGGAAGCTTGGGAGGGATCTTAACCAGGAAAGTTAAATTAAAAGAATTAACAGGTTGGGGGAAACAGCATTGCAGTGACACATCTTCAATTTGCAGATGATACCATTTTCTTTTCTTTCTTCATGGCAGAGCAGAGCAGTCTACATCATGTCTACAATTAGAATAAAAAGGAAAAACAGAGTCCATACTTGCCAAAGTGTGCAAGTACAGGGTCAAATAAAAGGAGTTGAAGAATCAAGAGGAGAAGCCTACCAAGAGAAGGCATGTGTCTAACGGTATACCAAAATTAAAGTATAAGCTCAAAATTGTGGTTAAATACAAAAATAACTAAAGGCTCAAGAGGGACCCCCTAGGATGGGAACAAAATTTTCCAACTTGCACATAGTAAATTTTGATAAGAATCTAAATGGATGATCCATCGGAACTTAACCTTCAAGAGACAGCTTCTGGACCATGAAATTTGTTCCAAAATTTATTGGATAATCATACTTGGAAATTGGAAATATCTAAGTCAGTTGTGGCTTATAAACAGGAAGATGAGGAGATAACAAGCAAAGGACAATTATGATAGTAGGTTAGACTTACATTCATTCCCTCTGCTCCCAGTGCATAAATTAGTAGTTGACCCTCCCTAAACCTCACAGTGCGGGGAACCTCATGCACTAAGACTTCCCTTTGAGGGGATAATAAAGCAAATAAAAGAATTGTTAATTGCCAATGCCTCAATTGATTTGTGATTATATTATTTGAACCTATGTAACATAGGCTCTTCTACATTAGAGAAGTATTATGTTCGACAAGTGACACTTGAGTAAGGGTATGAGATAATATGTGTCTAACATGCTTAGTTGGATATGGACACAATAGTATGCCTAAATAGTCAAATTTACCATGGAACTATACAAAAGGCTCAGATTTTAATAATAATAATTAAAAAAGTAATTAGGAAATATGAAATCTAGTCGTGTCCTAATGTCCTTAGACATGAGAATTAAATGAATCGGGCATTAAGACGCATAACCTCACATAACACCCCACCCGAGTCCAAGTAATATAGATTTGAACTAAGAAGCACGGACACTTATAAGAAGGTGACATATCCGTGTCGTGTTCGTGTCAGACACTGACACTCTTTGAACAATTCTCCGACGCGTGTCCGACACTCTTTAAAATGTGTCCTATTTTTTAATTTTTTTTAAAGACCCGGACACTCTTTGAACACTTGCGTGTCTATCACTTAAACACGTGTCTATCGATTAGACACAGGTGAAACTATTTATAAGTTTCAACAAAACAACTTAAAATACAATAATAAAATAAGTACCATATAAATTTATAGGAATTAGTGTCATATTGCCTTTTTTTTTTTTTAATCTTTGAATGATATATTCATATATATATAACATATAATAAATATATAAAATTTATATTTTATGCGTGTCCCTTACGTGTCGCGTCCTGCATTTTTTGAAAATTGGCGTACCGGCATGTCCGTGTCATATTCGTAAACAAAAGCCATATAAATTTATAGAAATTAGTGTCATGTTGTATTTTTAATTATCTTTGAATGATATATTCATATATATAACATATAAAAAATATATAAAATTATATATTTCATGTGTGTCCCTCACGTATCGTGTCTTGCATTTTTTGAAAATTGGCGTGTCGGCATGTCCTTTATATTTTATACGTGTCCCTTACGTGTCGTGTCCTGCATTTTTTGAAAATTGGCGTGCCGGCGTGTCCGTGTCATATTCGTTTCATGTCGCATGTCCGTGTCCATGCTTTTTAGGATTTGAACAAAGCAAATCAAGCATAAGATCTACCATTGCAAGCCCCTATATATGAGTAGAGGGTTGTTAAGATCCCTTTAGTCCTCCAAAAAATGTCTTTTTTCTCAAAATTAAACGAGGAAACTAAATAGAAACATAATGCTTCTCATCCTCAAGCATCATATATGTTGGTACTTAAGTTCAAATTAAAGTAATTTTTGGGACAACCCAAATTATGGAAGATGAAAAATTTAGTAATTATGTATAGAGTGCAGAACAAGTTATGGAAGATGAATTATGCGAGTAATTATGGGGCATTTAAAATTAAATGAAACTATTAGGATCCATGGACTCGGGTACGGGTGTCCGGTGTAGTGCGTATCTAAAGGTTGGACTCATTAGATCTTAAATTTAAGGATACGCGGACTCAACAAAAAAGTCATATTTTTATATTTTTAATTTATTATGTGAGATAAAATGGTACTATATGTAACATACAACGTCAAAAAGATGTTTTATAGCAATTACACAACAAATGATACATATAAGATAGTTTTAAATACAAATATATGAGAAGTGTCCAATGTAAAGTATCAGACGCATATCCCACACCTTTGACCGAGGGTCGGGTGTCCAACACGAGTATTTGATTTATTTTGTAGAGTTCATGTAACATAGGGATCCAATATGTATTTGCATAGCTATTATTAGGGGTGGCCATCGGCCCGATGGCCTGCCCAACCCGCCCAGCCTAGCCCAATATTTTTAGGGCTTAGGAAAAATATTTAGCCACTAGGGCCGAGCTGGGCAAATTCTTTAAGCCCATTTAATTTTCAAGCTAGGTTTGGAATAAAGAGTTTTAGCCTAGCCTGGCCCGCCCATTTAAAAATTATCAATTTTAAATTTTATATTATTTAGTTATAAAATAAATAAATAAATAAAAATTAAAAGATAAAGAAAAATACATACACATATATATATTCTTTCTATAATTTAAATTAAAGCACTTTTTAAAAGATTATATTTATTTTATAATTAAATTTTATTAATACCATAAATTCAAATAGTTATTAAAAGAGTTTAAATAATTTAATAGTCGTTCAAGAGAGGGAAAAAAAAAAATTAATAGTTCATATTTATTGGGTTAAGTGGGCAGGCTTAGGATTTAGACATTCTTTTAGGGCAGGGCTTGGGATGACTAGGCTAGGCTCAATGTCGGGCTGGGCCGCGTTTGGGATGACACATATACTTTTAATATATAATGTCAGCCTGGCCCAACCCGGTGTTTGTCCATCCCTAGTTATTATGGTTAAAGATAAATAAAATGTTTCTCATGGAAGACAGGTTGGTAGGATAGGAGTTTTTCGGATTTTTGGTAGAGATTAGAATTTGAATAAAAAATTATCTTTTAGGCTTTTTCTATTTATTGTAATCATGTAGATGTCGTATGGCTTAATTTGGGAGGAAATTATTTCAGTAAATAGTCTGTGCAAACACGAGAGAATTATTTATACCTTTCTAATGGTGGACTAGAGATCTTGGCTGCCTCCAAACAACCATTTTATCCCTCCAATCTACTTTTATTCTATTTTTGGTAATCTTGAATTTGATTCATAATAACTGGAATTAGAACCTCCAGCCTAGTTCATGCCATGGAACCAATCAAGATTCAAAATGCCATAAAAAGAAGATCTTCGAAGAATGGAATCCGTTGAATGAATCATAAAAAACTTGATTGAATTCAAGCCCCGTTTGGCAAGAAGGCTTTTTGGCTAGCCAAAAAGCCAACAAATTCAATCCCATTAGTAAAATGTCACATTATACACATCAATCAATCACTTTTTCCCTCACAACTATCTATTCAGTTAAAATATCATTCCAAACAAATTAATTTTTTTCACCTCATAAAAAAGTCAAAAAGCCACTCAGAAAGCTAAGACCTCGTTTGGGAACAGACTAATTTAGTAACTTTTTGGCTATTTGGCTAAACTATGAGTTAAAAAAAACTAGTATGTTTGGGATGATTTTTTAGCTTTTTACGAAAAGATGTGCAAAAAGTAGAGAGAAAAGAGAATCTTTGACTTTTTGGTATGAATTGTTGGCTTTTTGACTAATTTAGTAACTTTTTAGCTTTTTGGTGAATTCTAGTTCATCAATCCAATATTCAAGGGAGCAGTCGATGCATTCATTTACAATAAATACATAAGTGGATACAAATTTTATTGTGGAACGGAAATGGTCACTACTATGGTCAATTTTTTTGACTCATGCAAATTTTATGAAGTCAAAGTCAGCCATCAAAGTCCTACGTTATTTTTCTCGAATCTAAAATTTCATGATAATTCTGTTGGCCACCTCCACCACTGGTTTGGAATGAAGACCCAACATTGAGGACAAGGTTAACCTCAATGGGGGTATGAATTTCTTTTTATTCTTTATTTGTTTTGATAAGCAAATGGGGGGTAGGATATTTATAGATTTAGTGCATGTCTCTCTCATATATTTTGGTTGTTGATGATAATTTGATAGGATAGGAGTTGTTAGTGATGGTTTGGTAGACATTAGATTTTGAATAAACAATTATCCTTTGTTATTAGAATCATAGGATTTGCGATTCGATTCACAATTCATGCATAGATCAATACGAATCTATGAGTGAATGTGAATCTATTTTAGGATAAAATCTATAGTGAATCGCACAATTCACAATCTATTCAATATTCGATTCACTTTTTATGATTCAAGCAATAATTGAAACTATGGTGCCTGATAGATTCCAACCTTTTTTAGCTCCCATTTTTTTTTAGTAAAAATGACGTAATACAACTTCTAAGGATATTTAGGGTTCGTTAGGCAAGAAGAGTTTGGGGCTTTTTTGGCTATTTTAGCCACAAAAGACAAAATAGGCTATTTTAGCCACAAAAAACAAAACATCACATCCAACCCATAATCATTACACTCTTCTCTCACAAAAAAAGTCAAAAAAGCCAAAAAACCCTTCCCAAACCAAGCTTTTTAGCCCAGGCTAAAATAACCAAAAAAACCAAAAAGCCAAAAAGCTAACCCACTTCCCAAACGGAGGCTTAGTGTGAAAATAACCAATATCCATACATGATTTGTTATTTTTTTTGGTAATTATAAAGTTTTAAATAAGATCAAATAAGACCCAACATGTCCTCAAATTTTTTTTTTCCTCAAAAAAATGTCAAATACATCGTCTACAGATGTTTAAGGTTAAAGTAATTTGCACTAATGAATTATCTATTATTATTTTAGTGACATAAATATGGTTCAATATTACATGGGCCAAGTTAATGGTTTCACTACTTTTCTTTTTCTTTTAGAACAATAAGCATTCATATCTTTTAAAGTGTGTTAAATTTTAAAAGAAAGAATTTTACTTAATTTTTTCTTCTTAATATACTCCACAGGGTTCCTAGGTCCATTTTTAAATTGTCACAAGAGATTACATTACGATTTTTGAATAATTTTACAGTGCTGCGATTTAGACTCACAGCTCTTATTATGAAGGCAATACCTTCCCAATTAGACAGTGTAATCATATCCTCATATAATAACTACAGTATAATACATGTCAAAATCATTTTATTTCATATATACAATTGTTTAACATCATTTTTTATAGTTTGTACTGAATCTTAATGATTCTCGATTCTATTCACGATTAACAAAATTATAATTTTGATTCCTGTATGAATCTCAATTTGACAACTATGCAATTATCTATACATGTATTTATCATTTTAGGCTTTTCCAATTTATGTACATGTTGTGCGGCTTACTTGAGGAAATTATTTCAATCAAACACTGAGGATTAGCCATATCGTATCCCTCTCTGATGGTGAACTAGAGGTCCTGGCTGCCTCCAAACAGCCATTTTCTCACCATGCAAGTAAAGTGCAAGTTGCATAGTATTAAATTCATCAACAACTTCACAAGAAACCCAGATTATTGCCCAAACAATATCAGAAATAAATATATGACAATAACATAGTATTAATTTTAAGACTACAGTGATCAGAAGCCATAAAAAGGCCCAGTTTTGCATCAAATTCGAACACAATCAAGCAAAGTTGATTCCAAAAACCTCACAACAGTTTAACCAAAGATCTAAAGTACCCAATTACAGAATTTAAAGCTGCGTACTTTTGGGACCCCAATTCAAATCTAGCAATTAGGTATTACGAATTACGCGTTACATGGATTGAAAAAACAAGTTTCTTTTTGTGTGTGTACCTTCAGGGCCGAGACTAGATCGCTTAGTAGGGTCGTTCAAGATCGACAAGCCATGCTTCAAGACCTTGTCGGAGCGTCGAAGCTTGAGCTTCCGAACGAGACAAAGGTACTCCCAAGCACCTCCTCCTCCATTGTCCACCTGATTCTCCAACCTGTTCACTTGTGCTTCCTCTGTTTTGCTCACCATCTTCACCAATTCCTTCAAAGATATATCTCTCTCTCTCTCTCTCTCTCTCAATTTGCCTAGACTAGTATACCTGTACTTTGTTGTGTTGTCGTTTGTCTCCCACTTGGGATGTATTTGGAGTCGTCATCATGAAGCGGAGACCACAATACAAATCATTCGCCGTCGCAATGTGGTAGGCCTATTAACTACCACAAATCAACCCGGACCCGACAGCCCGCCCAAGTACAAATGCCATTGATACGAGTCCGCATGGTATGGTTTGGTTTTGTTTGAAGTTTTTGTTTGGTTTTGTTTGAAGTGAGCCAATGCGGAAGCTCTCTTTTGACAACATGACCAGAAAAAGTCAGCAATTATTTAGGTCGAATTATGTTTCGATTTATTTTTATTTTTTTTAAATTAAAAAAATTAATAATTACTTCTCAAAACAAGTCAGAGGGTCCAAATTTATTAAAGTTGAAGATCTTAACTTCATGATCAAGTTAATTTATATTTGGACTCATTTTGGTAATGATCTAAATTGTTCATCTTATATAACTAAATTAGTTTATTTTTAAAATAAAATTTTGATTTTGAGTCTTAATACTTTATTTGTACAATATTTTAACAATTAAAAATTAAATACAAACAGATTTGCTAATGGTTGATGAAAATTTTTGTAGCTGTGTGTGATTTTATGTAAAAAAATAAAATAAAAAATAAAAAAAACTCATAAGAATAATTTCTTTCAAAGTTATAAAAAAATAAAAATAAAAAGGTGCATTCTGAAGCTGAAATCAAATTCTTATTTGTGTTAATCAAATTTATCAAAAATTATGAATTCCAGTTGTATCAAAATATTGTTTTCTAAAAAAAAATAAAAACAGATTATAACTCATGGTGTATTACATTATAATATGTCTTACAAAAGAATAATATTAATTTAAATCTAAATTATTTATTTTAATTATCTTAGCCTTATCGTTCTATAAAATTGTTACTTGAATACTTATATGTAATAAATTTAGTTAAATTATTTGTTTATTTTGACAATTTTAGTTTTATAAAAGAGTAATTATCATATAATAATTTTATATGATATATGTTAAATTATAAGATAGTAAAATAAACACTCATTTTGATATTAAAAATAATAGTTAAATTAGAAAGAAAATTAATAATATGAAACTAAAATTGATTTTAATTATTTATTTTTATTCTTGTTTTTTTATTTATTTGAAAAATAAAAATATATAGAAATAGAACTATATAAAATTTATTTAAAAGATTATATATAAATATGTTGTGGAAGAAAATACATAAGTTAACTATGTAGAGTATTAATTATTTCTTTAATATTCTTTTTGAATTATTCAAACATATTGTATATAGGTATATAAAATTTAAATAAAATATACATGTTTTATAATAAATAATTTAAGACATCAATAAGATAGGTAAAAAATAAAAAATATATAAAATTAAATTAATTTGATCAGTGCGATGCACATAATTAAACACATTCTGTGTTATTTTATTTATTTATTTGTATATCGAAATAATTTTCTTTTCAAATATCAAAATAATTAAATTAAAATATCAACTATATAAAAGAAATTTGACAACGACAAGACTGAATACAAGATGAAAAATAATCCGTGCAATGCACGGGAATTTATTTTTTAAATGAAAATTTGATTTTCAATCTTAATACTTTGTGTAAAAAAATTTAACAATTGAAAGTCAAATACAAACAGATTTGTTAATAGCTGATGAAAATTTTTCTCACTGTGTGTGGTCTTATGTAAAAGCTCAAAAAAAACATTGTTTTTTTTTTTTTTGAAAGTTTTTTATTAAAAAAAAATTGTAATTTCAATGTGAAATCAAATCATCATTTGTGTTAATCAAATTTATCAAAAATCATGAATTCCACTTGTATCAAAATATTTTTTCATGAAAAAAAATAAAAATAATAAAAAAATTCTATAATATACAAATTATGACTTGGTTATAACTCATGGTATATTATTTTGGTTATTAATCGAAAAAGACTTTGCTAATTTCTTATATTTTTTGTAATGTATAAAGTAGTGTATTGGGTCTTCAATTATGTTTCAAGTGATGTTTCATTATGATCTATTACAATACTTTTTTATGACAATATTTAAATATTTTATTACACAAAAAATGTTTAAGGTGAGTTGATTCAAAAGTAGGATTTATGCTTATATCAGTAAAATCGTAAAAGTTATTCACATCAATTCATACAAAATTACAAATCCAAATCATAAACAATGTCCTAAAAGAAAATCAAGCACAAAACATCTATAACCTTAATAATTTCAGTTTTTAATAGGATTTTGATTAATTATGTGACATATTGTAATAATCACAAATTTTTTATTCCATCCTAATTATTTTTGCATATCTTTTATGGAAAAACTCATGAAGATACATTATTAGTAATATTATAAATTCAAAATTTTTAATTAAAAATTATTGAAGAAACTTCAAAAGGTGCCTTAAATATACACAATCATTTTCGATAAATCATTATTCTTTAAAATAATACTCCACACTATTTAGCATTTAGCATTTGTCAATTTATATTCTAAAAAGTTAACGAAAAAGTATTGAGTTTCATTATTTTAATCAATTAATATCAAATTGGACGCTACACATGTACGTAAATCACTTATAGAAATATGATGTCTGACATAAAATCACAATAGAATTAATTTTAATTAATGTAATAATATTTTATACCCTGATATGTGTTACAAAAAATAATATTAATTTAAATTTAAATTATTTATTTTAATAATTTTAGCTTTGTTATTCTATAAAAGTGTTACTTGAATACTTATATATAATAAATTTATGGGGTATTTTTTTTAAGGTCCCTGATATTATGATTTTGTAGTATAAAGGACATTAAATATTTTCATGATGTCTAAGGTCCCTCAACATCAATAAATAATTAATGTTCTATTATTATATGATAAAATATAATTTAATTAAAAATTAAATTATTTATATAATTATATTAAAATATTGAATTAAAGGGTAATTATCTTAAACATCTATTAAGAATAAGAACAGATCTGTGAAATCATTATCTGCCACGTATGCGCGTTACCTCCCTATGAAAGGGAGGCGTGTCACCTGGAGAGAAGAGAAAAGGAAAAGAAAAGAAAGAGAGGAAAGAAAGAAAAGAATAATGGAAGTTGAAATTATTTTTGATAGTGGAAAGAAAGTATGAGGTATTAAAAAAAGGTGAGTTATATTATATCTTGAGTTACCAAAATATATTTTACGTATATTTTAACGTACCAAAATTTGTTTTATACAAGTTATGTTTTTAATAAAAGTTATGTTTTATAAAGGTTTTAGTTACGTGGTTTATCTACTGAACCCTATTTGCTTAAAAGAAAATCCATGGATATGTCTGTTTATATTTTAAAGAATATTTGGCTATGACTTTATATAAAATTATGTTTTGTAAGTACCACCACGGGAGTCCCACGCCTTTGGAGACTTAAATAATCATTGGCCTCTGTTTGGTTACTTTGTGGCCCTCTGATCCATTGACCTCTGTTTTGTGCAGACCAAAGTGCTGTGCGTAACTAAGTGCTACACTATAGTGGGAGCCACCTCTAGAATCTGTACGAGCCACCTCTTAAATCCGTACCTCTGCTTTGTGCGGACCAAAATGCTGTGCAGAACTAAGTGCTACACTATTGTGGGAGCCACCTCTAGAATCCGTATGAGCCACCTCTTGAATCTGTACCGCTGTTCTGACTGTCACTTCTGTGACCTCTGTTCTGTACCGTGGTTATGGTTATCTATTTATATAATATTTGTATTTCAGTTTCTGCTACTTAAATGATTTATGCTACTCAAAGATTTGTTTATGTAAATGTTTTGGCTACATAACTATCCATGGTTATTTCGTGTCTCTTATACTCTTGGTATAATATTTCTCACTCTGCCATGTGCTTATAGTTGTTTACCAATTTTCAAGAATCAATGCACTTCAGAAATAGCTTTTTGGAAAGTCAGGTTGCGGAATGGACAGACATAGTATTTTTTTATGATATTATTTATATGTAAATATCGGCCTTTTTGGTCAATATATTTTGTAATAAAAATAGAAACTCCAATGATTATTTTGGTACCCTTATTTAAATATTACTTCCGCTCGCGTTGTTTGGTTTGTTTAAGAATTGACCGTAGGTAACCTCAGTTACTGGCCATCACGATACTTAACCCTTGGGTACGGGGAGCGGGTCGTGACAAGTGGTATCAGAGCAATGGTTTATAAAATTTTAAAAAAAAATCATCATTGGAGCATAGGACACATGCACATTTAGGAAGGGGGATAGCGGGTAATTAATACCGAATTATTAAATTTTGTTCGTCAATTTAATTATATTATAATTTTATATGATTACATATATATAAAAAAAAATTTAGTGTGCCTAATTTGTGAAGGATATTTTATATTTGTTATAGTAAAAGAGGGAAAAGAAAAGAAGGATGTCGGGCTCAAGCATCTATCAAAATTATCATATAATTAAATACATATAATTTTCAGTTCAGTATTCAAAAAAAAAATTATTTTCATGTTTTTTAAAAGTGGATTCAAATTTTAAAGATACTAGTTTTAAAATTATTACCCATCAATGAAAAGTTCATTTCAATTTTTTTTTTCAACTCTTGCATATGATTCTGTTATTGTGTTCTCATTTTATTTATTTTTATTTATTTTTTATCGTAAACAAAACGAGTGAAAAGTTTTTAAAGTCGCTCCTTATTTTTTTATTTTGGCCCAAATCAATTTTTGGCAACTAGACAGTGAATTATTTTTGGTAAAGTTTTTTTTGAGGTACTATTTTCTATCAGATTAATTATCTAATATATATTTATCAGAGTGCGCAGCGGATAGCTTACATATAACAAATTTCGAGGACGAAATTTTAAAAAGAGGGAAGATTGTAACAACCTAGATTTTTAATTATTCTGTAGAATTTATACTAATATTATTTAATCTCAGTTCGGAAAATATATAATTTATTATATATTATTATGCGTGATTTTGTAAAATAATATAATTATTAAAAGTTTAGGGGTCAACATATAAATAATAATAATAATGATAATAATAATAATAATAATAATAATAATAGGTGTGGTAGTAAAATAAATAATTAATTTTTTTATTGAT